CAGGACTTAAGAAATCGTAATGACACGATTGCAAAAGAAACCATACCCCGGCCGGATTGAACCCGCGTCATAGATCTCAAAAACTTCCAGCCCGTCGCGCTAGACACTAGACCAGCTACCACATAAGATGTCATCCAACTATGTATATTTCTACACCATAGGAAAAGGTTTAGCACAGGCACCTCTGTGACCACAAATGCAAGTTTTTAACAGACGAATCTCCAGCTATCGTGGCCGTGACGAACTCTCTAGCTCAAGTCCCTTCACTGCCGTCAAAGTTAAGAATTTTCTTAAGTCAGTTTACGGCAGTGAAGGGACTTGAGCTTAGAGTTCGTCCGGCCACGCTAGCTGGAGATTCGTCTGGTAAAAACGGATGCAATTTGTGGTCACAGAGGTGCCGTGCTAACTTTTCCTCTGGTGAAGAAATATACCTAGTTGGATGAATCTTTTTATGTGGCTAGCTGGTCTTAGATGCCCTAGGCGACGCTGGAGTTTTAGACTCTATGACCGCGGGTTCAACCCCGGCCGGGGTATGGGAGATTATTTGCAATCGTTCATTACGATTTCTTACAAGTCATGTTGACGGCAGTGAAGGGAACTTGAGCTAGAGTTCGTCACGGGCCACGCTAGCTGAGATCGTCTGATAAAACTGACTACTACAGACATACTGGCTACAACCAGACATACTGACTACTACCAAACATACGGACTACTACCAGACATACTGCTACTAAGACCAACATACTGACTACTAACCAGAACATACTGGCTACTAACCAGCGATACTGACTACTACCAACATACTGGCTACTACCTGACATACAGGCTACTTCCAGACATACTGCTACTACCAGACATACCAGGGCTTCTTACAGACATACTACTACTACCAACATACTGACTACTACCAGACATACTGACTGCTACCAGACCTATGCTACTACCAGACATAACGACTACTACCAGACATACTGACTACTACCAGACATACTGGCTACTCCCAGACATACTGACTACTACCAACATACTGGCTACTACCAGACATACTGACTACTTCCAGACAATAACTGGCTAACCAAATACTGGCTACTACCGACATACTGGCTACTACCAGACAATAACTGACTACTACCAGACATACTGGCTACTACCTAACATACTGCTACTACCACCATACAGACACTACCAGACATACTGACTACTACCAGACATACTGAACTACTTCCCAACAATACTGACTACTATACTACCAGACATACTGGCTACTACCAGAAATACGACTATTACCAGACATACTGGCTAACTACCAGACATACAGGGGCTACTACCAGACATACTGGCTACTACCAGACTTACTGTCTACTACCAAACATACTGGCTACTACCAGACATACTGCTAATACCAGACTTACTGACTACTACCACAGACATACTGACTACTACCAACATACGGAACTACTACCCGACATACTGACCTACACCCAGACATACTGGCTACTACCGACATAACTGCTACTAACCGAACCTACTGACTACTAACTACAAGAAATACTGGCTACTACCAAGACAGACTGAGCTTAAAACCAGACAATACTGGACTACTATCATACATTACTGCTACTACCAGACATACTGGCTGACTTCCAGATATACTGGCTACAACCAGACATACCTGGCTCCTAACCAGACATACTGGCTACTAACCAGACATAGCTGGCTACTACCAGACAGACTGACTACTATACCAACATCCTGACTACTACAGACATACGACTACTACCATACCTACTGGCCACTACCAGACAACTGCTACATACCAGACATAAATGACTACTACCAGAAAATACTGGCTACACCAGACTCATACTGGCTACTACCAGACATTCTGACTACAACAAGACAGACTGACTAACTTTTTTACCGACATACTGACTACTTCCAGACATACCTGACTACTACCAGACATACTGGCTACACCAACCATACTGCTACTACCAGACATAACTGGCTACTACCAGACTACGGGCTACTACCAACAACTGGCTACTACCAGACATACTGGTCTACTACTCAGACATACTGGCTACTACCAGACATACTGGCTACTACCAGACATACTGACTACTAACCAGACATACTGACTACTACCAGACATACTACTACTACCAGACATACTGACTACTACCAAGCATACTGCTACTACCAGACCAGACGGCTACTACCAACATACTGACTACTACCAGAACACTGGCTACTAACACTCCAGACATACTGGCTACTAACCAGAAATACTGACTACTACCAGACATACTGGCTACTAAACCAGACATACTGGCTACTTCCAGATATACTGGCTACTACCAACATACTGGCCGCCTACCAGACATACTGGCTACTACCAGACCATACTGGCTACAACCAGACATAACTGACTACTACGCATACATACTGACGACTACCAACATACTGACTACTACCATCCAGACATACTGCTACTACCTAACAACTGGCTACTACCAACATAATGACACTACCAGAAATACTGCTACTACAGACATACAGGCTACTACCAAGACATACTGACTACTACCAGCTTACCTGGCTACTACCAGACATACTGGCGACTACCAGATATACTGGTCTACTAACCAACATATACTGACTATACCAAGCAGGGGGCCAGACCCCGAAGCAGGGCAGGGACGTGAGACAGTAACTGACTACTACCAGACATACTGACAACACCAGACATACTGACTACTACCAGACATACTGGCTACTACCGATATACTGACTACTACCCAGACATACTGCATACTACCAGACATACTGACTACTACCAGACCATACTGGCTACTACAGACATAACTGACTATACTACCAGTTCATACGACTACTACCAGACATACTGGCTACGACCAGATATACTGACTACAACCAGACATACTGACTACTACCTAGACATACTGAATACGACCAGACATACTGGCCTAATACCAGATATACTGACTACTACCAGACATACTGACTACTACCAGACATACTGACCTACTACCAGACATACTGGCTACTACCAGTCATAACTGACTACAATACTACCAGACATACTGACCTACTACTACCAGACATACTGGCACTACTAATAGAACTGACTACTACCAGACATACTACTGAACTCCTACCCAACATACTGACTACTACCCGACATACTGGCTACTACCAACATACGAAACTGTGATCTAAACTTGCCCAGCCAGCACCAAGTTGTCATGTAGAGTATTTAGAATGAAACCATCATAAAAAGATCGTAATTTTTGGAGAAAAAACAGTACTTGCCAACACGTCGTCTGCCTGCCAACAAGACAAAAAAATTACATCTACTGAAAACAAACTTAAAATACGATATAAAACCAGCTGATTACATCAACATGGGTTTGCCAGAATTAATGCTCTATTTACAATAGAAAAAAAACATTTTTTTTTCCATAATTTTTCAGTCCTTAACTTCTAATCTCTGAAACAAAGGCTTTCCCCCCTCCCTGATAAGTTTTTCCACATTAAAGTATCCTGACATCAACTTCGACTTTTGCCATGTTATTTACTTATTTATCCAGTCAAAAGATATTAGGAACTTTTGTATAATCCCTGAACACATTTGATACCGAAGGTAAAAAGTCGTTCTACACCAGGACCGAACGTTTTCTAATAAATATGTTATAGTGTTTGCTTACGTGTCTTTCTAAACCAAGTTCCTGGATCTTTGAGTTAGTTGTGAGAGCTTTAGGTCAGCTGTCTTTTATCGTTGGTTTCCTGCAGTGATCGAAGTCTAGAATTATTGTGTTTCATTTTCTGTAGGTTGCGAGTTAAAATGTCGAGATTTTTTTATGGGCATTGAGGGCTGTGGCAATACCAGGAAAATCAGTTGAAATTTTAAATCTTGTCGAAGCTGCACCTTATTGGCTGTTGCGCGGTCACCTGGGGTAAGAGAGGTAGGTGATGCTAAGGTTCCTTCTAGGCTATTCATGAGGGGAATTAGGTTCCTTAGTAAGTAAGTTTATTTAGGCTCAGGTACATATAAGTACAATTATTATACATAGTGTAAATTACCTAGAATAACCCCAAAAAAAGTCAAAGTGATTTATTTTCATTGGGATCCTTTGCATCTTGATGCTGCTTCTGGCGGTATTTCTCTTGCGTTTACCTTAGCCTACGGGAGCACTGAGTTGAGGGGACGATGTAATTAAGGAGATTTTCTGGTGTATGGAGCTTGGGTTGTTTATTCGTCTGGGAGCGGGGTTGATGTTGGTCAGGTTGTAGATTTACTCAGTCAGATTTATATAATTTCAAGTTACCACGTATGTTAGTGCAATAGTACTTTGGATTAGGTTATCATAGGAAGCTTGTACTGACCCCAGGGGACTGGGAAATTTAGGAGCTCCAGTGATGCCGCCGCCAGGCAGTAGTTACTATAGTGGCGTGTACTACGGTCTCTCCCTCTCCCAGGTTCAATAGTGGAGTGTATTACGATCTCTCTCTCTCCCAGGTTCAACAGTGGAGTGTACTACGGCCTCTCTCTCCCAGGTTCAGAAGTGGAGTGTACTACGGTCTCTCCCTCTCCCAGGTTCATCAACAGTGGTGTGTACTACGGTGTCTCTCTCTCCCACGTTCAGTAGTGGAGTGTACTACGGTTATCCCTCTCCCAGGTTCATCAACAGTGGTGTGTATTACGGTGTCTCTCTCTCTCCCACGTTCAGTAGTGGAGTGTACTACGGCTATCCCTCTCCCAGGTTCATCAACAGTGGTGTGTACTACGGTCTCTCCCTCTCCCAGGTTCGTCAACAGTGGTGTGTACTACGGTCTCTCCCTCTCCCAGGTTCGTCAACAGTGGTGTGTACTACGGTCTCCCTCTTTCAGGTTCGTCAACAGTGGTGTGTTCTACGGTCTCTCCCTCTCCCAGGTTCGTCAACAGTGGTGTGTACTACGGTCTCTCCCTCTTTCAGGTTCGTCAACAGTGGTGTGTACTACGGTCTCTCCCTCAACACTGGTAACCTGGGAGGCAACGCCTACCTCAACTTCGTTATCAGCGGAGCTGTGGAGCTGCCAGCACTTGCCATCACCATCCTCCTCCTAGACCGTGTGGGTAGACGCATCCCACTTTGTTTCTTCCTGGTGATGGGAGGCTTGGTGCTCGTCTCAACCATGTTCATCCCTAAAGGTACACTTTCTTCATACGTCGTATTGCACGGAGGAGCTCATGAATTGCCGTAATGTTTTTATATGGTGGTCTGTTTTTTTGCAGGCACATATAGTATTGTGATGTTTCTTACACAGATTTGTCCTGGCTACTGATCACACTGGCCATGGCGGGGAAGATGTGTATCACTGCTTCCTATGCCATTATCTACATGCTCACAGCCGAGATTTTCCCAACTGTGGTGAGGAATGTTGGTGTAGGTTCCTCGTCCATGGTGGCTCGGGTGGGCGGTGCTCTGGCTCCATACGTCAACCTGCTGGTCAGTCTCTTACTAACTCCTTCACTGAAGGAATTGTTTAGAAAACCCATAAGTTGACAAATGAGAAACTTGTACAACATTGGGGTATCTTAATTCTAGAAACTTTTCGCCAGCCAGTGGTTTCTTCAGTTCAATGCAGAGAAACGTACAGGATGAGTCCATCTGTTGATGGACTGAACACATCGACTCCAGGTTTAGGGATTCATTACCTCAAACTCCTTCTCATCTTCTGCCTTTCTCTGCACTTGACTGAAGAATCCACTGGTTGGCGAAACATTTCCAGAATTAAGATACATAAGTGTTGTACAAGTGTCTTATTTATCAACTTCAGTGTTCACAAAAATAGATTCATATTTACAATATCAATATCTGATCCCATAGACTTCTGACAGATTCAATATTGTACTGAACATGTGGAGGATTTTCCCCAAGAACACGATCTCTAAATTAACCTTCCAGCCAGACTCAGGGGAGAACATAGAATACAGAACTTAAATTGCAACTCACTGGAGACTTGTGGGACTTCAGGAACACTGGGGTCACAATGTCCCTCCTTCAATGCCCATTGTCTCAGCTCCTCAACAAGCTCCGGGACCCTAGTTTAGGAACACGTGGTTCCTCATTAATCACATTATTTGATATTCAAGACATATTACATTTACCAATCTGTTATATTGGTGATATGTCCCAATACCCCCACACGCAGATTAAATAGAAAATTGGTCAACCTCTGTCAACCTCACCTGTTGTTTGGGGTTTAATACACACTGGGAGGTGGATATTATTAGTGTAAGAGGTAGAGCTAACATGGCGTCCATTAAGTGCCACGTCACATTTTCCTTTCATACCATCATTAATTCTTCCATTTATGTATATAGCTTTACCCTTCCAGATGTATTTCCTGTTCACTTATTTTGTGGTGTAGAATTTCCTGCTAATATTTCTATCGGCCGCTATTATTTAGAGAAATATTTATCTACTCGCCGGGTCGTATCATCCTCGTACCTCCATCTTTCTTTTTCTCTGCGCTTTCTACACCTCGCTTGTCCTCACACTTTCATTTTTTTACTTTGTTAGTTAACACAGTAATGTGAATGGCAGTTGTTGTTAAATAATTACTAAAAGTTTGCTTTAGAATATTGGCAAAGTAAATATTTACTGCAGTATTACTCTAGAAAAAATGCTATCGAAAATACAGTCGACCGCCAACTAACGGCAGCATTAAGTAACGGCAATTTCGTCTAACGGCGCTTTTTGCCATAGAAAAAAAATGCCTTAACCAACGGCGAAAAACTTAACCAACGACGTTTGTCCGGAACATGTCGATGTGCCCCGAGACTCCAAGAGTCAGTGTGCAATTGTTTACAAGCTGTTGCGGTCGGTTTTCACGTGTGCCTCCCATATATTTTGGATTATTCGACTATTTCTAGTGCTTTTAACCGCTAAATAAGCCACCATGGGTCCCAAGAAAACTTCTAGTGCCAAGCCTGTGTTAAAAAGGGTGAGAATTACAATGGAAATGAAGGAGATCGTTGAAAAATACGAGTGGAGTGCGTATGGCTAAGTTGGAAAGGCAATACAACAAATCACATTCAATTATCAGTACTATCTTGGCTAATAGACAGGGAATCAAGGAAGCTGTTGTTGCGAAAGGTTCAAGTATGTTTTCAAAACGGAGACCACAAATAGTTGAAGAGGTACAGAGACGGTTATTGGTATGGATAAACGAAAAACAATTATCAGGTGATAGTGTTTCTTGGTCTGTAATTTGTGAAAAGGCAAGGAAGTTGCATGATGATCTCATTAAGAAAATGCCTCAAAATAGTGTTGCTGTTGATGAATTTAAAGTCCAGCAAAAGCTGCTTTGAGAGATTTAAGATTCGTAGTGGCATACACAGTGTGGTAAGGCATGGTGAGGCAGCCAGTTCAGACAAAAATGCGGCTGAAAAATATGTGAAGGACTTTAAGGAATACATAGAGACTGAAAACCTAAAACCTGAACAAGTGTTTCATTGTGACGAAACAGGCCTGTTTTAGAAGAAAATAAAAAAACCCTTTTTCAGGGGAAAAAAAGGGCCCCAAAACTTAGGAACTATTAAAGTGAAAAGTGGCTCCAAAATTTTGATGAAAAAGGTTTAAAGTTTTTTAAAAAAAGGGGGGGGGTAAAGGGGGGGGGAAAATTAAGGACTTTTTTTTTAATCTACTCTGATACCCCCAAAAAAGTGATCCAGGAAAAAAAAAAATTTTTATCCCCAATAAATTTTTTGGCTTTGGGGAAAAAAGGGGAGGATTTCATTTTTTTTTTTTTTTAATAAGCCTTACTGAGGGAAAATTTTTACCAAAGACCCTCCACTAACAAAAAAAGGGAAATTCTAAAAAAAACCCCCCTTTTTCCCCCAAAAACAATAATATTTGGGATAAAACATTTTTGGGTTTAGAAAAAAAAATGGGGAACCCCAAAACCCGAAAAAAAGGGGACTATTTCCGAGGGGAGCATTCACCCCAAACCCCAACTTAATTTTTTAAAAAAACATAAATGGGAAAACCAAGTAAAAACCAAAATCCCAACCATATGGTTTAAATAAAAAAACAAAACCCCCAAATTAATGCCTAAAACCCCTTGATTAACCCCTTGGGGGGGGGCCTTTTCCGATGAGGGCCAAACCAAGGCTTTTCCCAAAAAAAGGAGGAATAGAGGTTAAAATTTTTAAAAGAGAAAGGCGCCCCATTAAAAAGGGGGGAGGGGGAAAGAAAAAACAAGGGTTTAAAAAAGGCCCATTTCGGGGAAAGGTGCCCCCCCGGGAGAATTCCAAGAAAAGCAAAGCAGAATTTAAAAAAAGGGGAATTTTTTTGGATTTTCCCAAAGGGAAAAAATCGGGGAAAAAAAAAGGGGTTTAAAATAAAATCAAAAAACCCAAAATTTAATTTTTCCCAAGGGGAAATAAAAATCCGGGCAAGGTCCCCTTAATTGGGCCCCCAAGTAAAACAAGGGTGGGTTACCGGAAAAAGAAAGGAAAGGGGGGTGATATCGTCCCAAAAATAACTGGGGGTTTTTTGGGGGGCAAGGTAAAAGCTGGGGGTTGGCCCGGGAAGACAAAAGGGGAATTTTTAATGTGGCCCCACAAAATTTTGGGAAACCAAACCCTTCCCTAGTTATTAAACGGAAATTTTGTCCTTGGGAAAAAAGGGAAAATACATTGAATGACTCGGGGGCCCCGGGGAGAATAGGGGGAAAAGTTTTATAAAAGAAAGAAAAAACCCCTTTTAAAACAAGTTTTCCCCAGGAAGGGAAATGGAAAAAGGGGCATCCCTAAAAAGTTTTATAAAAAAACAACATGGGGGCCCCATTTTTCAAAAGGGGGCGGGGGTAAAAAACACCCCAAAGGGGAAACAATCAAAAAACCCAAAAACAAACCAACTTCCCATATCCAAAAACTTTTTGGGGGGAAATTTGGTCCAAAAAAGGGGAGGGGAATTAACCACCATTTTAAAAAACCCACCCCAATAAAACAAAAAAGGGGGCAAATTTTGAACTTTTCCCCCTGCTGTTTAACCTATTGGGAATTTAAAGAAACCCCCTTAAAAATTGCCACAAAAAGAAACAAAAAAAATCAAAAAATACGGGCCGGGGGAAAACCTTCCCGACAAAGGGGAAGGCTTTTGGGCCCCGAAAAAAAATTGGCGGAAAAGGAAAACGGTAAAAACCCGTTTCCGGATGGACCAAATTTCCCCCCCAAAAACAGAAAAACAAGGAAAAAAAACCCCCCCGTCCAACAATAAAAGGGTCCGATCACTCTTTGAAAAAAGGGTTTTTTAAAGGGCCAGAACCCCCCCAAAAATTCCCTTTTCCTACCTTTTGAAAAGGGGAAAAAAGGATTTTCGCCACCGGCCCCCCTGGAATTCCTTTTGGCAAAAAATTGGACCCGGAATCCCATAAAATTGTCTTCCCTTGTGAAACGGCCAAAGGGGCTTGGCGACTTTCAACCCTTTTCGGCCAGAAAAAATTAAATCCCAAAGGGAATTTATTAAAGTTTTGAAAAGGTGGAAAAAACCTTCTTTTGATACCAAAGAAAAACCCGGGGGCCCCCCAAATTTAAAAACGGAAAAAACCAAACGTCAAAACCTTAGTTCCCCCCCCAAAATTGTCGGGGGATTTAAACCTTAAGGGAACCAAAAAAGGGGGGTATAACCAAAATTTTGTTAGAAAAAACCCAGGAAGTTAATAAAAAACCAAAACTAGGGGGGCCAAAATCCCAAAAAACCCCAATTTTCCACTTGACCTACTGGGTGGAAATTCCACAAACGCCCCCATTTCCAAAAAAGGTTAAAAAATCCCCACCTAAAAAAAACTTTAACCCCGGATAAAAATAAAACATAAATTTTGGGGAGCCAAGGCCAAAAAGGGTTTTTGGGAACTCGGAGGGGGGTTTAAAAATTAATTTAAAAAAAACTTTGGGGGAAATCCAAGGGGGCTAACCGAAAAGGGGGAAAACAAAACAGCCCCCAATTTAGAAAGAACAAAAACGGGCAGAGATGCACCCCCCCCCCAAAAAAAAGGAGGGGGTGTAAAACAGAAAGAGGGAACCCCCCCCTTTACGGGGGCCCCCGGAAAAGTTAACCCGGCCCCTAAAAAAGGGGGAATTACCAAACCCCCGGGGGGGCACTTCAAGTGGCACGACAACAACCTAAAGCCCCTTTGGATCAGCCGGGGGTGGCCAAAAATGTTGGGTTTTAACTTTGAAAACCAGGGAAAAAAGCCGGGTTTGGGCCCCCTAATTCCAAGAGGGCCTTTCCAAGGCCCGGGGGGTTTACCCCCAATTCCCCCATTTTTAAACCCCAAAAACCAGACTGAGAGTCAAAGATCAAAAAAAAATTTTTTTTATGGAGAGCCACAAAATTTGATTAACAAAAGGGCCTATCCGATTTTTATCCTGACGAAAAATTTTTTTCCGGAAAAGGGGGAAAAAATGCGGCCCATGCACTCTCCCCCGGGCCAGACC